GAGAGAGAGCATGTGAGGAGGGTGGTAGAGGGAGAGGGAGAGAGAGACTCTTAAGCAGGCTCCACACCCAGTGCAGAGCCCATCACAGGGTTTGATCTCATGACCCTGAGATCATGACCTGAGCCGAAATCAAGAGTCAGACACTTAACCAATTGAGCTACCCAGGTGCCCCTTGATTTTTTTTTTTAAGATTTTATTTTTAAGAAATCTCCACCCAACATGGGGCTAGAATTCATAACCCTGAGATCAAGAGTCACATGCTGTACTGACTGAGCCAGCCAAGCACCCCTATTTTGATGTTTTAAAAGGAAATGAACAATATGTTGGAAATTGCTCAAGTTTTAATAATTTAAATCTCAAAAAATGCTATTTATTACACTAAGCTATATGTTCTTGGACAAATCTTTAAACTTTCTTGAGCTTAGAATGTGGACATGAAAAGAGAGAGTTGGACCAGAAGACCACCTAGGACCCTTGTAGCATTAATAGTCTGCTTTGTAAGTGATGAAAAGTATAATAAAATAGATCCTTTTATTTTTATATGCACCATTTTAGTTATGTCAAAGTAGATAAATTGTAATCTTTTCATTTGTAATTCATCCTGTTTTTATTTCAAAGACCCTGCTTTTACATGGAAACATCATCACCTCTCTTAGAATGGCACCTGCTTATCTACCCAGAAGTCTTGCTATACTTTCCTTGGCAGAAAATGAAATTCGGGACTTAAATGAGGTAAAATTGGAGGGTATTCTGTGGGATCCAGGAAGCTGCAAAGTACCGAAGAGACTCAGGAGAAAGTTGTGAGCTCACTTGTTAACTGTGAGCATCTTGGAAGATACTGCCAAAAAGATGAAACACTTGACTCAAGATGATCATTATTTTTCTTTCTACTTTTTCTTAATGTCAGTGGGTCATTAAGGCTTAATTTCATTTGTAATGCTGCCACTGTTATTCCATTTGGAACTGATTTGTGGTAGAGGTATATCTACGTTAAAGGGATCAATAAGGACACTGTACACCTTTCTCTGGCTGCTATTATGTTTTCAAAGTAGGATTTTCTCTGTTAGGAAACAGTGCTGATACTTTGTAAGGTATTGTGCAGCAAGGACAGATGGCCATATTGATAGAATTTTGGAAGTCAGTGGATAATGTAAGAGTGTTACTTGTTGCTTTTCAGAACAAGAGGGAAATTGTTACATTCTCAAATTGACAAAGATGTGTACTCAAAGGAAGCCCTGTGCTTAATACTAAATAGTCCATTTCATTCAACAAAGATATCCTTTGTTCCAGATCTCTTTTTTGGCATCCTTAACTGAATTGGAACAGTTATCAATCATGAACAATCCTTGTGTGATGGCAACACCGTCCATTCCAGGGTTTGACTATCGGCCATACATTGTCAGCTGGTGCTTAAACCTCAGAGTCCTAGATGGATACGTGATTTCTCAGAAGGAAAGGTGAATATGACCTTTTTTTTAAGATTTTATTTATTTGAGAGAGAGAATGAGAGAGAGAGAGCACATGAGAGGGGGGAGGGTCAGAGGGAGAAGCAGACTCCCCGCTGAGCAGGGAGCCCGATGCGGAACTCGATCCTGGGACTCCAGGATCATGATCTGAGCCGAAGGCAGTCACCCAACCAACTGAGCCACCCAGGCGCCCTGAATATGACCTTTTTAATGTCACATTTATCATGGAAGTTACTGAAAAGACCATTTCTAACTTACTACAGATTACTAAACTGAATATTTCTTAAAATGTGCATTTAGGAATTAAGATCATTAATGCAATCATATAGCAAACTAACTATATGCTGGTCATTTAGGATTTTCTGTCCTTTCTAAGAAAGGATAAGAAATAAATATCAGTCTGAGAGGTTGGGGCTAGTGAGTTTAACTTAATGCCCAACATACAACAATTTGATTACTGAAAGTTCTTTTGTTAATTGGTTGTTTGCAGGGCTTAGAGCATTTTCTATAGAAATCATATTATGGATGCTGTGTAGGGTCTCAGATCAATCCCACAAAAGCTTCTAATCCATCTTATATGTAAGGGCAGTATTAGTAATAGGACCCGGGGTGCCTCAATTGTTCAGTTGGTTAAGCATCTGACTCTTAGTTTTGGATCAGGTCATGATCTCACAGTGTGGGTTTAAGCCCTGTGTTGGGCTCCGTGCTGAGCCTGGAGTCTGCTTGAGATTCTCTCTTTCTCTTTCTGCCCTTGCCCCTGCTTGCACACATGCATGTGCATGCTCTCTCTCTCTCTCTCAAATAATAAGGAAAATATTTAGGGGTACCTGGGTGGCTCAGTCGGTTAAGCGTCCCATTCTTGGTTTTGGCTTAGGTCATGATCTCATGGGTTGTGGGATCAAGCCCCGTGTAGAGCACTGCACTCAGCGTGGAATCTGCTTGAAAGATTCTCTCCCTCTGCCTCTCCCCCTGCTCACTATCTCTCTCTCTTTCAAATAAATAAATAAATCTTTAAAAAAAAATTAAAATCTTAAAATAGGACCTAATTACCCTTTATAACAATGATTCTGTGGGAAAATTCATGCAGAGTTTCAGTTTGGAACTGGTAGCAGACATACTGATTGTCCTTCTCTACTCATAACATGTGAAGCAGCAGAAGTGGAAACTTTCGTATCTCTAAGCATTGATGGTTTCTGCACTTGGAGCTGGGACCCCTACATGACGGGGTCTTCTGGGCACACTGGCACATGATCATTGGAATCAGAACTTTAGGGGAGATAAGAAACTAGGATGTGAGCAAGAGGGGGTGGAGTTGGAGGGGATAGTATGAATTGAGATGAGTTTATTCTCTTCACTTTGCCTCATTTCACTTTCTCCTCTCAGTGTGTACATACATGCATTCATGGACTCAACAGGTACATTATTCCTCACCATTTTTGTCCACTTCTACTAGAGACTGGTATATCTGCTTGAGGAGTATCCTGGTGGAAGGATGAGTGGTAGATTACAGACAGGGTTTTCCTTTTCCTTCTTCCTGCTCTTTCATCTAGTTGCTGAATAAGATGTGAGGCAGTGAGGAATGATAGCCAGGACCTACATAGTGGTGATGCTGGTGGAGGGTGAGTGACATACATCAGGTCTAGTTTGCCTACAAAACAAAAAATTGTGGCTTTTCCTTTCTCTTGCAGTATGTGTTGCTACGTACTCAGAAACTGATTCTGTTTTCAACTATGGATAGTTCTAAAGCTTGAATATGGGCTTACCTTGATTATCTTCTCTGACTTTTCCTTTCCTTTCCTTTTATTTTAAGATTTTATTTATTTGACAGAGACACAGCGAGAGAAGGAACACAAGCAGGGGGAGTGGGAAAGGGAGAAGCAGGCTTCCTGCTGAGCAGGAACTCGATGCGGGGCTCGATCCCAGGACCCTGGATCATGACCTGAGCCGAAGGCAGATGCTTAATGACTGAACCACCCAGGCGCCCCCGACTCTTCCTTTAAGAGAAAAAAAATACTTGTCAGATTTTTCTATATGAGTAGGATTGGCAGTATTGTCATATATGGGAGGTAGCATGGTGAGATAGGCAGAGAGAAGGGTTTGGTGTAAAGAGAGACATGGGAAAAGGGACAAGAGAAGAATTCACATGTTTCCCTGCCACTCATTAGCTGTGTGGCCTGGGCAAGTTCCTTAGCTTCTCTGAGCTTTAGTTTTCTCATCTGTAAAATGTGGATGATACTACCTAGCTTTTAAGAATGAGGATTAAGGCTAATGCATATGGCATAATATTGGCCATATGGTAGGTGCTTAAAAAACGGTAATTGTCATTATTACTAAAAGATAGGGACTAGGAATCGAAGCATTTTGTAGAAACTAAAGCAAGTGTTAAAAAGCAGAAGATATTTGGGGTGCCTGGCTGGCTCAGTTGATAGAGCATGCAACTCTAGATCTCAGGGTCATGAGTTCAAGCGCCATGTTGGACACAGAGCTTACTTAAAAAAATAAAAAGCAGAAGGTATCTGTTGAATAGATGAATAATAATGCGAAGGCTATGTTTCTGTACAGTGGAAATGGTTTTAATCCAAGTGACTTTAAGGTGAATTTGAATGTTTTTTAAACTTTCTCTAATCTAAGAGACTTCAGGAGGTAGGGAAGTGTGGGCTTTCACTTGGGGTGGTCTTTCTCTCTGTAGGGTCATCCTACACTAAATAAATATGGGGGGAAGGAAGAGGTGGGAGTATAGCCCAACAGCAAGTTTCTTTTCCCCCCCAACATTTAAAAAAACTTGCAAGGTAGCATATAATTCAGATGTAGTTAAAAAAATAATATTTAGAAATACCTACATAGTCACCACTGAGAATAAGAAAAGAACATAACGAGGGCGCCTGGGTGGCTCAGTTGGTTAAGCGACTGCCTTCGGCTCAGGTCATGATCCTGGAGTCCCTGGATCGAGTCCCGCATC